AAAACAATTAAAAGGACTCAGGGTACAGTGTCCCTGAGTTCAATCCCTAGTAGCAAAGAAATCAATAAAAATGGATATAACAAATGCTGATGAGAATGAGGAGAAAGTGGAATTTTTTACACTTTTGGTGGAAATGTAAAATGGTGCAAAGTTGTGGAAAATAGTATGAAGATTTCTCAGAAAATTAAAATAAATTTCTGATGCAGCTCTGGAAATTCTCTTTCATGAGCCTCTTTACCAGATGTGATTTTTAAAAAATGCAGTCCAGTCAGTGAATGCTGCTGTGCCATCCAAGCGAAAGTCAGGCTGGTAGAAACACTATGCTGTGTCCTCCTGCACCTTACTCACCAGATCTGGCACTGTGCAACTCTTGGCCTTTCATCAAAGTCAAAATGACCATGGAAGATAAAAGTTTTTAATTAATTCAGGACAATGAAGCAGCAGCAACTGCACAACTAAAAACACTCATGAAATAGGACCTCCAGAACTGCTTCAGAAAGTAGTAAGAATTATGGGATAATTGTGCTTGAAGGGAGGGGCAACATTTTGGGGGAATTAATGGTAATGTGTGTTTTATTTGCTTTTTGTTTTGTTTTGTTGGTTTTTTGAGGCAGGGTCTCACTATGTAGTTGAGACTGACCTGGAACTCACTATATAGCACAGGCTGGTCTCAAACTCACAGCGATCCTCCTGCCTCAGCCTCTCGAGTGCTGGGATTACAGGCGTGCACCACCACACCCAGCTAATGTGTCTTTTATTGTACTAATTTTAAAATTTACACATTCACTCTACTTTTCAATCAGACCTCATAAATAAACTCATAAAAACAGCAGAATGATGCTTCTTGGGGAGAGGAGAAATAGGGTTGTTCTTAAGTATAGAGCTACACTCATGGGAATAATAGGTATCAGAGAGCTGTTATACAGTACTGATACTCCAGAGGTTCAGGCCAGAGAATCCTGTCAGCCGGGAGCTCAAAATCAGTGTGGGTAACGTAGCAAGACTCTTGCTGTCTCTTTAAACAAAAAATATTTTCTAAATATCATGTGCATATAGTTAATAATGCATACACTTAAAAGTAGGGTAAATTTATTTTATTTAGCGTTTTGCTGCCATGATGGATGGATGGGTGGGTGGACGGATGGATAAGTAGATAAATCACACCACACACACGCATACACACACACAGATGTGCACAGCTTCTTTACCACTTTTAACCAGAAGGGAAGAGTGGGGACAGGGATTTAGTTTAATGGCACCAAGCCTGCCTCGCAAGCACAAGTTCGATTCCCAGTATCGGAAAAAAAAAGAAAGGAAGAAGGGAAGAGTCTCTCTGGAAGGCAGGAGAGCCCTTGGGACATTAGTGCTGCTTACCTGTTGTTAAAGTTAATGGGAAGCAAGGATTATGATTTAACAGCTCTCTCCTACTAAGATTTTAATGTAATATGATGCTGGTGTATATAATACTGCTCTTAAGTATTTCTGAATCATGTACATACATGGAAACCCAAGGAGTTTTAAAATTTGAAGCCATAAGTACAGTAAGAATTGCATATATGTAACTGTTATATTAATGTAAATCTAAGTAGGTTGAGATAGATTAACATTTTACAAATCTGCCACTGGAGATTATGGAGTAAGGAGATGTGTCCAGTTATGAAGCTGACCGGGGTGGACGGTGGTGGATTAACTAATGGTCGGCTCGGAACACCCAGCTGAACTGAGTCAGTGCGGTTCTGGTAATGGAAGACGCCCCTGAAGACTGATGCCGACTGCATAAGAAGAGTACTGGAGGGGAAGACGGTGGCTGTTCATTTTCTCGGAGAAGTTTGCTGTGGCTGGTTTTCCTGATGAGAATTTGGCTGTTCTCACTGTCTGAAGAGCTCTGGTGCTTGCTGTCGCTGGAAATGGCTGCTGTTCTCCTCAGGGGAGCTCTGGTCTTCACCTTAAGCATTGCTTCCTAGCTCCAGGGCGGATCCCTCAGCCTGTTGACACAGACCCTTCACCCCACTGATGGCACAGACCTTCTGGCTTCCACCACTGGCCCTTGGGCCTTCCCAGTGCAGATCCTCCATATGGACTTGCATGAGATATTGCCGTGGGCACTAGGCCACGGGCTGGACTCACAGAGGACATCACCTGGGCTCTAGGCCTTTAGCTGGGCTCATGCGGACACTGCTGTGAGATCCAGGCCCTCAGCTGAATTCTTCAGGTCTCTGGTGTATGGACAGATCTCTTACACTCTTCTGCATTTGACTTTTTGGGTGAATATTATAAAATAATCCTATAAGTTATGTTTGCTGAATTAAATCTACCCCCTTGCATACCCTGACAACAACCAAATTTGGTACCAGAGAAGTGGGGTCATTTCTGTGACTATACCTGACCTTGTGGTTCCAGACCCTTTGGGAATGGCGTACAGGAAGAGTCCGGAGAGGTTCAGAGATGCTGGCTGAAAATGAAGTGCTGGAACGCCTTAGGCTATACTGTCTAGGAGAATCTGGTCAGAGCTCAGAAGACCAGAAGGGTGATAGAAATCCTGACAGTAAAGACCAGGCTCAGGAGGTTTTTGCATTGGCTGCTGGACTCCAGACAATGTATTATGATTTGGCAGAACGTTTGTCTGCACTTTGCTTGTGTCCAGAGACTGCCTGACACTGGGATTAAGGGTGGCAGACTAATTAATCTGGCAGGAGAAATTTCAAGGCAGTCTGATGTTGAGGCAGTGGCATGGCTACTGTTGGGGGCTTTTAATCAGATTTATGTTGGGAACCAAGAGCAATGAGCCCAACAGAATGATTTTAAATGTTTTGAGTTTGGCCAGAAAGGAAGCTCCAGTAAAGTTGCTGCTTGCCAAAAATAGAGCAGTGGAGATCTTGAGTGCTGAGAAGGAACAGAACAGAAAAGATGGCCTGAGGGCATCACAAGCACCAGCGGGACTCCAACCTTTGCAGCTTCAAAACTTCAGAAGTAAAGGACTTTGCTTTGAGAAGAGAGCCCCAGAGCACCATGTTGCAGAATGGAGGTAGCTTAGGGAAGTTGTACCTTGGGGTTTGGATCAGTGGCACTGGGCTCCTAGAGCCAAGAAAGAGAGAAGCTTGGCTACTGCTCCGGCTGGCACAGACCTTGGCATCATCCACAGGGCGCTGCTTTTAGGAGTATGCAGAATGCAAGAGTTGAGGGGTCAGGAAGGCTCCCACCCAGATCTCAGAAGAAGGCCTGGGAGGCCAGGCAGGGCGCCCCTGAGAGGGAAATGTGTGAAGCTGGGAGTGTGAAGCCAAAGGTGCAGTGGAAAGGCCAGAAAGTTGGAGAAGCCAGGAGGGTGGATCATCTGAGGAAAACTGCAAGGAGGGAGCAGAGCCCGCCCAAAAGTGAAGCCATGGGAGCTGCGAGCAGCTCACGATGCTAGCGGCAGAGCCACCCCAGTCCTTTGGAGTTCACGACTTGCCAGAGATTGCCTTAGATGCTGGAAGTGGAACTGTGGATCTGTATTTGCGCTACTGACTGTACTATATACTTTTAAAGTACCAAAAAACTCAATAAAAAAGAAAAAAATTTGCCCTACTGGATTTTGGTTTTACTTTGGTCCCATTGCTTTGTATCCTCCTGTTTGTAACTTTTGGAATGGGAATGTCTATCTCGTGCCATTGAATGTTGGAAGTGTTTGACTTTCTTTTTGTTTGTGCAGGGGCTCCCAGCTAAGCGTTTTGCCTTACATCTCAGGGGAGACTTTGGACTTGGACTTTTCAGCAATGCTGAAACTGTTAGAACTTCGGCATCTCTTGGAGATGGTCTAAATGCCTTTTGCATAAAAAGATGTGCATGAGTCTCTGGGGGACCAGGGGCAGAACGTTATGTCCCCCGAAGCCTCACGGAGTCATAGGTGGGCACTTTTTCTGAGGTGGCTGAATCTAGAGTGTGTGAAGCTGGGATTGATTCATGGTGCAATGCTGGGCTCAAGGGCAGTAGGATTAAAGGTGTGAGTGCTGCCCACCCTAAATAGTCTGGATAAGACGTAAGCAATAGAGCTGTAGCTGCCCCTTGTTGCTTTTGCCGTCTTCTGCCACCATGGACTGTTGCCCCTCTGCCATGCCACCCTGACTTGGAACCGGGCAGTTGTGGACTGAAGCCTCTACAAACTAAGTAAATGTTTCCTCCTTTAACTTTGAGTGTCAGGTATTTTGTCTCAGCATTGAGAAAAGTGTAAGACACCAGTGATTCAGACATGAAAGTGTTCAGCACAGATATAGGGCATGCCTCTCACTTTTAAACGGGGAAAGGTTATTGTCCTGAGGAGGTGGGAAAGAGAGGCCAGGGCAACACCTTGCCAACCAGCCCATCTTGCCAAGACAGACTAGTTTTAGAAGGCTGAAAATGTGTGAATGTGCTGGGATATCTTTTGGGAACTCTTAAACTTAGAGGTTTTCAAATGGGAGCAATGTGCCCCAATCCAAAACTCTGCAGGCTGAGTTTCCTACCGTGTTCCTTCTGGAAAAAGCAAGGGAGAAACAGACTGGCACTGTCCCTCCAGTGGCTACAAGTCACGTTTCCTTTCACCCTCTGGACTCCCACACCGTCCTCCCTCGCGCCCTACTTCCTGTCCCACAACTCCACTGGGTATTTGGACAACCTATTGCTGAGGTGTCAGAGCATGAGTGCTACTCACAGCCCTTACTGTCGAAGTTCAGTGAGGACTAAATGAGATCTACTATGCATGGACATTGATGACCAGTCTAAGTCTGCATTATGAGAGCCTGAAGATGGTGACATGTGGCCTCAGGCGTTTCAGGAAGCAGGAGGGGAAGGAGCTGCTGGTCTAAGAATGACAGCAGCTCCTGGGATTCAGGACCTGTGGCTTCCATCTTGCTCTACCTTTGGGGTCTCTATCCTGGCCTCAAGGTGCAGGGCAAAGACCACCAAGGCAGAGAATGTTTCCAAGGAGTGTAAAGGGTTTAAGGAGCATCACAAAGGGACCAGATGAGGGGACTCAAACTCCAAATCCAGGCTTTATTGCCACTATTTCAGTGGCTGAGCAGGGGAAGCTCTCAGCCCTGCTTAGCTCATTCCCAGACAGGGGCAGCTGGAGGGGAGTCCCTGAAGGTGACCCCACCCCCAGGAAGGGCTGAGGGGGAGGGGGAGGTCTCTGCTGCTGCCAACAGGAACAGGGAGACCTCATCAGGAACCTTGCCTCTGGCTGTCAGGACAGTCCCAGAATCAGGCAGGGACCGGACAGGAACACCAACAGGTGTTGGAAGGGTGAACGGACTGAACAAGTGAGGACATTGTATGGGGTCCCCAACAGCAGTGAGATCTCACAGAGGAGCGCTGAGCATCTGCTGGATCCAGGGACTGAGACCCTGAGGAAAAGCACCCCAGACTGAGACCCTCAAAGAAACCCTGACCTCTCCCCTCCGCTGTTCAGCAAGAGTCGGGAGACATCCAGAGGGAGAGGGCAGGAAAGGGGCTGGAAGGGCCCGGAGGCTGAAAAGGAAGACTGGGATGAACACCAGGGCCGGCAGGGGTCGGGCTCTAGCTCTGCTGCTCCTGCTCTCGGATGAGGTTGGCGATGGGGCTGGTGATGCCGCCTATTAAGGTCCAGTACTCGTCAAAGCTGATGCGCCCGTCATGATTGGCGTCCAGGTCATGGATGAGCTTGTCAGCAGCCTTTCGGTTTCCCGTGTCCTGCAGGGAAACCAGAGGTCAGCAATACTGAGGGCAGCAGCCCCAAGAGCGCCCAGAGAGGATGGGGCCTGGGCAGCTGTCCTGGGGAAAGGCACAGAGCCCTCACCGGCTCAGCCTGGGCCTCCTGAGAAGACAGGCCTGCGGGCAGGGATGGAGTAACAGGAAGCACAGAGGCCTAGGTGGGGAAGAGCACCCCGAGAGGGTGGGAAGGGGAGAGCCAGGCCCGCAGGCACGGCCCACCGTTAGCATGTGGTTCAGCTCTTTCTGGAGCATCTTGCGGAAGCTGCTCTTGCTGATCTTGTTCTTGACCAGGCTGTGCTTAGACACGTATTTGTAGAAGTTCTCCACCAGAACGACAACAGCCTTCTCCAGCTCCGTGTAGCAATCTGCCATCTTCTTCAGCTGTTCCCTGGCCTGGGCATCATGAGGGGGAGATGAGAAAAGGTCCCACGGGCTGGGCCGACCCACACCTACCCTCAGGTCCTCAGCACACCCAGGACAGCCCAAAGAGGTGTGGGGGTGGCCCTGGAATGACAGCTATGCAGTTTCCCTAATCCAGATCTCCCCAGCCCAACTGCCTGGACAGGTTCTCCAGGTCCTTCCCCAGCCCCAGGCTCCCACTGCCACTGCTGGCTCCCGTGGGAAGAGGAGGAGGGGACTGCCCGACCATGCCTGGCCACCCAGGACCCGGGGGCAAGCACAGCTGGGAACTGCTGTGCCAAGGCAGATGGGCCAAGGCAGTGAGGCTCGGTTTCCGACCCTCAGGATTGCAGAGACCCTAGCCCCTAGGTCATACAGCAGGAAGCAAGGGCCTAGTAGAACCCCAAACTCTTCTCCAGCCTCCAAGGCAGCAAATCCAGTGGCTCGGGCCATGGCTGCCCCTCTCCAGGAAGGGACAAAGCCCTGACCCATCCAATGAGATTTTGTGCACAACACCCACCCCTGCTGGCCTCCCCTCCCTCGTATCTGCCCCTAGAGAGACAGCAAGATGCAAGGACAGCCCTGCTCCATTACCGAAGGAAGAGCCAGGCCTGGTTTTGCCACAGCTGGAAACAGACCCTGGACACAGCAGCTGCCACTGGTGTAGCCCTCTAACCCAGGACAAAAGGCACTCACATTCCAAGCGGATGCAGCTTCTGAATGGCAGGATATGAGGGGAACAGGCGGATCTACTCTGTGAGTCACCGCCCATGCCCAGAGCCCCCCCAAGGCAACCCGGGCAAATCAGACTCCCCTCCCACTCTCAAGCCAAGGAATGAGCTCCAGCCGCCTTCACCCAGCAAGGGGAGCTGGACACCAGGGACACAGCTGCCCGCCACACAGGCCTGCGTAAGCAGGGTCTGATATGGAAGGGAGGTCCCTTGCCAGACCCTGCTGCCATCTCCCGCCCCTGCCACCTGCCTTCCCTGCCCTCCATGGTCATCCCACTGTCATGCCTCACGCTGTGCCCACTCCATCTAGCAGAAACCAGCTCATGGCTCTGGCCCTGCCCAAACCACGCCTCCAACGAGAATGCTCCCTTGACCCCTGCCCTCTCGCACTCCTCCCTGACTCCCACAGACAAGTCTGCGTGCACCACACTGGCTGGGGCCACAGTACTGTCTTCACCGAATGGCCAAGCCCATGGACTTGGGGCCACCTCTAAGTCCTGGATGCTCAACTGTCTTCCTTTTACTGTCTGGCCCCCCATTGCTTGGCCCAGGGCTGTGCTTAAGGGAAATGTTCTAGAAATACTTCACCTCCTTTCAGCCCTGACACCAGCACCTGACCACTTTTCTAAGCTTTTTCTTTTCTTTTCTTGAGACAGGGTCTCACTACGTAGTTAAGACTGTGTAGCCCACGCTTGTCTTGAACTCACAGTGATCCTTCTGCCTCAGCCTCCCAAGTGCTGGGATTACCGGCGTGCGACACCATGCCCAGCCTCTAAGCTTTTTCTTTTACAGATTTTTCTGAAGGATATACGAGACCCAGAAGTAGAAGACAGGCCAGGATACAGAAGGGAAGACGCTGGAAAGGGAGAGGGGTTAGGCTAGGGCCTCTCTGTTGGAAAACCTACCCTCCTGCCCCTCAGCCGCTTGACCACTCTGGTCTGTGGCTGGAAGGATGACATACAACACCAGGACTGCCAGAAACCATAATCTTTCCATATTCCTTAATTGTAATTGTGTGGTTTGATTTTTTTGTGCCTTGTCATATGTTCACACAAATTTTCTAACTTTAAGGTAAGGAGGGGGGAAAGTTGAACCCATGATCTGTCTGTTCTGCTACAGGGGAAGAGAGTGACCCAGGCCTGTGACCAGCATTTCTGGTGATTCAAGAAACTGCCCATTTTGGGAAGGACTATACCAAGCTTATTCCCCCTCAACCCTTGGGAGAGGGAGAGAATTTTCAGACCTCTCCCCCTTTAACCTCCCAGACCTCTTCCTCCAAAGAGGGATCCTATGGGGAAGAGGAAAAGAAGAAAGAGAAAATGGGTGTTTTGAGTGCTGCACCTCTGCTCCCCTGCCCCAGGCCAGCCACCACTCCTTCCCCTGCCTCTTCTCAACACCCGCCCAAGCCCTGTCTGCCCTCTGGACACACAAAGCTGAAGCCAGCTTGGCGGCCAGCCCTCAGGAGTGCTAGGTGACCCCGAGATGCAGTGTCAGTGTCCCTAGTCTTCCATCCCCAGCCACTCCCAGGAATCCGGTTCCGCTAAACCTGCTTCTTGTAAAGTGGACAACACTGAGATAACCATTTGAATGAGGGCTCTTGTAGAGGATTTTCCGAAGGCAAGCAGGTGTCATTACTCTCCTTCTCCCACCCTGCCCTGGAAGCTGGGAGACCGGCTCTGCCACCCGACCCATCACACCTACTCCTCCAGCTGCCCCAACCTCCCAACAGTCAGACCTGGGGGTCTGGGGCATGCAGAGAGGGCAGATGTGCTGCCCTGTCCCAGAAGGAGGCCAGGAGGTCAGTCCTGCTTTGGTTTTGCCACCAGCAGATCTGGGCCTGAGAATCGGGGGTGGGGAGTGGGGATGTGAGCAGCACACACTGGAGCTTCCAACAAGGGAACCAGGGATGCTGTCCCTCCGGCCCCACCCCTCCCGCATTCCCATCCTCTCCTGGGCTGACCCATCATGGAGCAGGAGGGGGCTCCTCCCCACCCCAGAAGCCAAGCTCACCAACAGCTCCATGGCCCAAGCTGCCCTGGTCTCGGCCACTGAGGCCTCCCCTCCCACCCCAGATTCTGGCTCCCACCTGCTCCACGTGCCTGCTAACAGTGTGCACCCTGAATATCTGCTACATCCTCCAAAGTTCACCTTCTCTTCCCACCCCACAGGTGTCTCACCTTTTGTCTTTCACTGGGATGTGTCCCCAGACTCCTATTCCTCCTAGGCACTGTCCTCACTAGAGCCTACCCTTTCCAGACTTGAATTTGGCATTTTCTGTGTCTGTTCTATCTACCTCCAACCCATTCACTCACTAGCCACCATTTGTTTACTTACACATTCATTCCCTGAATCATTTATTCATTCATTAACTCTCTTATCTGTGCAATAAAATATTCATCCTCTCATGTATTCATTCAGCCACTACCCTCTTAATTCACTCACCTGTCCCAACTGCCTTCAACACACAGGAAGGTGTAATCTGAACTGGGCTGGTAATTCAAGCTCTATCTGCAAGCCTATTTTAAAGGAATCAAAGCCTCAGCTGGCCCGTTCCTTGCTCCCTCATATGCTTTGGTTCGTTTGTTCATTCATTGGGTTAGTTGGGTAACTGGATGGTTTGATGACTGGTTGGTTGGTTGGTTGGTTGGTTGGTTTTCGAGACAGGATCTCACTATGTAGCACAGCTTGGCTTGAACTCTCCCTCCTTCTGCCTCAGCCTCCCAAGTGCTGGGACGACAGGTATGTACCACCACCCCCAGCACCTTGTATGCTTTTTCCAGTTGCATAAGGCTAATTGTTCACACAGGTGTCCCTGCTTCACCCTTCCCCACCTTGCAGAACTCAATTTGTCAAGCACACAAGCAGAGAAAAGAGCTGTACCATTCCTTATCCCCCATGTGAACAACCCATCTACCTAGCACCCACTTTCACTTTCAGAGGTGGATTCCTCTGAAATTTTGTCCAGACAGGTGAAACTGGGGGAGTTTGGTGTGGGAGATACACACATGCGTGCACACACACGACTACTGCTAGCCTGATCAACACTCAAGACAACTCTTCACTCACCCATGAGGAAAGGCTGCCCCCACAAAATCACCAGGTCTCAGCAGGGCTGGACAGAGGAAGGGTTACATAACTCAAGTGGCTCCCTCAGAAAAGTTAAAGCGAGTCAAGCAAGTACCTGCACGGGTCCTAAGGTGGAGAAGCAACCAGTTCCGGGTCCAGCCCTCCTCCCCCTCCCTCTCACTTTCCGGGGAGCTCCTGGGTTCCCCAGGGCCTCACCCAAGTCCCTCCCACGGAACAGCTCCTTAAGCACAGCGGGGTCTGTGTCTGAATCTGACCGGGTCTTTAGGTAGAAGAGAAGCCACCTCAGCCCCTGCCTCCTCTCTCAGGCCTACCGTACCTTCTTAGTTCCGCCTGGACCTCGTTACCTCCCGCAGGACACAGCTCCGGGAGCCCAGTGAGGCCTGTGTCCGAGGTCTGAGCAGCCCCAACCCCCACCAACGCACACTTGCCCTTTTCAGTCTGGGAAGGATCGGCAGCTGTGGGCACAGCTCCGAGGGCTCTCCCAGTGTCCCAGCCCCTGGAGGGGAGCCCAGGCATCTGCCGCCAGGGAGAGGGTCTTGCCACCCTATGCACTCCTCTGGAAGCTCCACCCAGGCCCCAGTCTCTCAGGACTTCCCATTCCCAAACTGGCCTTCGGAGAGAGTTGATAATTAAGAAAATCTTCCTGTCCAATCTCAGGCGGGCCCCTGTCCCCAGTTCCCCTTACCACCCCTTCTCCTGGCCTCCCAGGCCTGCAGGGTCCTTCTGGCGGGGCCTGGCTTGCTTACCTGCCTCCTGGGTGCACCTCCTGTCCGGCAGGGCTCTGGGGTCCTGGCTCCGCACTGCCAAGCAGCTCAGCCCAGCGGGTCTCCTCCCAGGCTGTACTCCCAGGCTCTGCCCCGCTCCCTCTCAGGCCTGCCCAGCTGAGCTGGCTCCAGGAGGGGGTAGTGACTGAGCTCCCTCTTGGCTTGGCCCTGGGGTTGGGCCCTTATTAAAGGGATACACACCTTTTGGAACACCCTTCTACCCCCACACCAGGCTGAATGGAGGAAGCTGGAGCTCTCCTGCTCCACCCTCCTGACCCTCAGGGCCTGAGCAGAACCTGACTCAGGTGGAGGAGGGAAGGGAAAGACTGTCACCTGTCCTCTTACCTGGGTCACTGGGAGGCGAGTTTCAAGGGCCCCCAACCGACAAGTTCAATCAGCATTCCAAGGTAGCCTAGCCGACCACAGAAACTTCCTAGCTGTTGGGATTTTAAGGGTAATTCCTGATTTCTGTGGACACCCTGGGATTCGAGGCTGGCTCTGGTCTTCCCTCTCCAGTTCAGCCCAAGCTGAGATCCCTGAGACCTACCCCTTCATGAATAGCAGAGGGCTCTTCGGGCAAACCCTCACTCCCAGCTTTCCCTCAGGTACCCAAGGAAGTTGCACCTTCCCATAACAGAACCACAGACAAAGCGGAGAGGACCCCTGCCCCGCTCCCCCAGAGACATCCACTGACAGGCCCTGGCTGTGTGTCGGGCGGTGGGGTGAGCTGTGCCGGCTCTCAGCACAGAACAAGGGCAGGATTGCCCAAACCCACTCTCACAGGTAACACACTGCAACAGCATCCCAGTCTTCCACAGAAACAGGTCGGGAGTGAGAATCCAACACAGCCAGTGAGCCTGCTCCCCTGCCACACGTTTCCCTTGTCATTCGTCACCCAGGCCCCGGGACACCTGGCCTCTGGTCCTTTCCCCAGACGAAGGAATACGTACACACACGCACACGCACGCACACAGCCCCCGCTCCCTGGAGTCCTGCATGTCCTTCTCCATGCACACCAGCCCTCAGCTCTTCCACCTTTGGGGCCAGCTACAACCCTTAACCCAAATCCATGGCGACATTCAGCCCTCAGTCACTTCCACTGTGAGCACTCAAGGCCCTGTGACGCCCTCGCCAGTAACTCAGAGCCCAGGAACCCTTCACCGAGGGACTCTGAGAAGAGAGTGTCCAATCAAGATGACATCTTTGACTTTTTTCACTTTTTTATTAATCAAGTGATACAAAACAATCATCATTCTGTAAACGCCCAAGCCCCCGTTGGTCCTCTCACCCCCAGATCGCACCTTCTCAGCCTCTTCTCTGACCCTGCTCCCTTCTCTCCTGCCCTAGCCCAGGGACACGGTCTGGGAAGGAGGGCAGGGTAGGGCTGGGTTGCAGGAGGGGGCAGTACAGGACGGCTACACCTTAGCATGGAGAAGAGACTAAGAGGGGTAGATTCTGAGACTTCGGTGCCCCATATTCCCAGCCCAACCTTCCGATCATTGCCCACAGCCCAGCTCCGCTCTGCCCTCTCCCTACTACCAAATCACTTGGCCGTTACACACCCCTTATTCCTCTGTACCCTCCCAGGCCCCAACCTGCCCCCCGAGCATACCACAGTGGGGCGCTCCTAGACCCACGCGCTCCATGGAGCTGCCAGGACAGAGTGCACCAGCCCTGGGGGTGGCAGTTATGAACATGAACCTTGCCGGGGGTGCAGGCTAGGGAGCAGGGGGTAGTGCTGGAGAGAAGTTTTATTTCCGAGCCCATAGTCTCTAAGGTGCCCTCTCCCCAACATCTCCCCCAGAATTCCAGGAGGGTCTTCAACTCCCGGGAACAGGACTGTCCATCTTCACGCTCTTGGCTGCCTCTCCGATCAGTTCCCAGAAGCTCCCGAACTCCAGTTTAGAGTCATTACAGTTGCCCAGGTTGGCAATTTTCTCTTCCAACCCACAATTGCTCTGAGGGGAGAGAAGACACCATCATTCAGCAAGGGGGCACCTTCAGATCTTCCCACCCCACCCCACCCGGGAGCAGGCAGCAGGGCTTGAGCTGCCTAGCACTGGCAAGGGGGAAGGGCTGGGGTGCCAGCGCCCACATGGGCAGGTCTTGGAGTGCCTGCTTTGGAGGTTAGGGGCTGTGAGGTGGGGTCCACTCAGTACCGGCATGAGATGGGGCAGCTGCTGAGTGACCAGGTCCTGGAGCTCAGACGGTGTCAGCGTCTCCTTCCCACCCTCCACTGAGTACTGGTGGAAGTTCTTGATGAGGGTCTCGATGGCCCTCTCCACATCACTGAATTCCTGGGCATCCTGAGGGCAGGAGACAACTGGTCAGGGGCTGTCCACCCCCCCGCCATGACAGACACACTGCTTTCCTCAGAGCCTTGGCAAAGCAGGAAGGCAGCCACCCCTGCCCACTCCAGAGCCCAGAACCCAGCTCCTCTCCCTCACCCCTGTCCCAGCCTTCAGGCCATAGCAGCCCCTGTCTTGAGCCATAGTCTGGGCAGACTCCCTCCCTGCCACCACTAGTCAGAGGCAGAATAGTCCAGCGCCCATCAAGACATCCTTTTCACGGGACTCCATCCACCCACCCTGTGTGGGGTCAGGGAGAGGACTTGGGCCTCACTGGCAAGATCTGTGTACAGGGCAAGACCAAAGTGAGGGGCAACATCCTTGGGGACACAGGCTCTCAGGACAGAGGGGAGGCACGTGGAGACAGAAAGACAGGCCAGGAGTGCATGGCCCACCTCGGCGTTGGCGGACCGGCACTGTCCCATGGTGCCCAGGCACTTGCTGCTTGGTGAGAAAGTCGTCGTCCTACAGCCTGCCCCGGCACAGCTGATGGCACATGATCTGCCCAGAGGGGGACAGAGCTAAGCAGAGGGCGCCTCCTTTCTCAACGGCCCACTCTGGCCCCACCAAGCCCTTCCACCGCACCTGAGTTGTGAAAGCCAACTCTACACAGGCCCAGTTCCTCCCCAGGCTCCAGGACTAAGGCCTCAGCCCCAAGCCAACCCATGCAGGGGGAATCCCTTGGGCCTCACTTCAGCCTCATTCCCCCCACCACCCAAAGGCACCAGAATGCCTGTGCCCAGCCCTGCCCTGGAAGACAGGCAGCACAGGCACAGGTGTCCCTGGACAGGGGTGGCCCCCCTGGAGGAAAGGCCCTGGGTCGCCTTACCTGCTGGCAGCCGCTGAGACTGGACGGGAGGAGCCAGCTCACTTGGGCTTAGCTCATATACCTGGGGGAAAGGAGGGGAGGCGGAAGGGGGCTGGGCCTCATCCCTCAGCCACCCCAGCCCCAGCTGCGCCTGCCCGGCCGGGAGCCAGCGGCATGGGCCCCACCCTCCATCAACAGAGCTCAGAGCTGTCCTACCCTTGCCAGGAGGGAGGAGTCACGGAGGGGTGGGGCTGGGGTGCCCTAGCCCCGGATCAGCATGTGGAGTCACAGGACAGAAGGGAAGGAAGGCTGTGGACAGCAGTGGGGTTAGAGATTCTGTGGTGTAACAGAGAGGGTCTCGGGAACCAGACAAGAAGCAGGTGCTGACTGAGAACGGAAGGGGATGTCAGAGGTAGAGGTCCACTGCTGCCTCTCTGCGGGGTCCCGCTCGCCCCTCCTTCCCCCTCCTCCACTTCAGTAGTGACTCAAGCCCATCCAGACCCCAGAGCCTTTCCCAGTCCTGCCGGCAGACCGGTGAGTGGGAGGAGGGCCTGAGAAGCTTGGCACACCGAGCCCAGAAGGACCTGATTTCCCAGAAGCCTTTGGTGCACACAGCCAAGGCCCAGATGAGTTACTCAGTCTGACAACCTCTCCGAACTGGTCGGGCTGCAAGCGCCTGCCTCCAGCAAGTCCCACGTCCTCCTAACCCTGCAGCAGCTTGCAACACCCACCCTCCAGTTCAGCACCCAGGACATCACCCTGGGGCCCCCGGACTGTGCTTCCCTGAACGGAGCCTAACCCAAGTGGCCTCCTCACCTGCCCAGGTTCAGTGGGGTACTCAGCTCGGGTCAGGGCATGGATGGGGCCCAGAACCAAAGCTCCTGGGCACCTTTCCTGGACTCTGAGATCAGAGCTTGTGCCCCGCATCTAGGGCTCCCCTGTGCTGCGGGTCTCCACTTACGGACGGCCCCGTGCACGAGGAGCTCATTCTGAGAGTTCTGTATAGGGCTTCCCTCGGGGACCCACAAGGGTCTTCCCATCTGAGAGTTTCTCAGAGACCGACGACGTGGCCAGCCGCCCTCTGAGCAGCCTCTGGCTGGGGTGTCTCACTGACCTGTCACTGAGACCAAGCCCTCTCTACCCCGCCCCCAAGTCCTCTGGATCGTCTGCCACAACAGTTCCCAGCTGGGGTCACTCTGAGGTCACTGGGGGCTCAGTGGGCGGTATAGCTCTATCAGGGAGCTTTCGTGGTGTGTGGAGCTCCTCTGGACTCCCAGCTGCCCCGAGGTCAGACAGCACAGCAGCGACGGCAGCCCTGCCGCCCGCCGCTCCCCACCCCTGCTCTCTCTGTTGGCAGGTCCTGCAAACTGCACACCCTCAAGCCGGTAGGGACAGGGAGGGCAGCAGAGCCATGCCCGGGAGAGCCAATCCCTGCAGCACCACCCCTCCTCCTCTGCTTCATCCCTGCTGGGAAGGGAGTACAGGAGGGTCCCTCATTCCCAAGGATCCTTGGGGGCCTGGTGAATCAGTGGCTCCAGAATTTCAACCTAGTTCCAGTTATTCTTGTCTTTGTGGCTTAACCTATTTAAAAATGTTTCCTCATCTTCAATATCGTTTTAAAAGTACTACCTACCTGAGCAGGGTGTGGTGGAGCACACCTGTAATCCCAGGATTTGGGGGCTAAGGCAGGATGGATCTGAGTTCAAGGCCAGCCTGAATTACATAGTGAGATCTTGTCTCAAGAAACAACAAAGCCTACCTACCAGGGCAAGGGATGGTGGCACTGGCCTGTAATCCCGGCGCTCTGCGAAGTTGAGGCAAAATGGCTTCAAATCCAGCTTGGGCAATTTAGTGACTTAGGGTGGACCTACTTCAAAATAAAAAAGTAAAAAGGGCTGGGGATGGAGCTCAGTGAGAGCCCCAGGATCAATCCCAATACAAAAAATAAGTTATAGAATACTACCTGCCATTCAAGGCTGTGAGAGTTAACCAAGGTAATGCAGGTAACATTTTGGAGCTTTTTGGTTTTAAGGGATTTTTGGTGTTGATGTTTTTGTTGTTGGTTAGTTGGTTTTTTATTTCTGAGTCAGGGTCTCACAACATAGCCCAAGCTGGACTCAAACTGGGTAGATATCTTCCTGCCTCAGCCTCCTAAGTGCTGGCATTACATGAGTGCGACACCACAACCAGCTGAATGCAGGTAGCATGTTTAGCCCGTGCTTGATACGGTAAGCCCGTGACACACATTACATGCTATCACTGCCATCAGGGACAACTTCCTGAATAAGAAGGGGAGCCAGAGCCAGAACCGTGCTGCTCAGCCACAGGAGGCACCTGGTGAAGTAGAAGCCACCTAAGCTGCCCTAGATTCCTTTATCTTTTATATATTCATTCATCAACCATTTATTTACTGAGCACCTCTTCAGTATAAGACCTGATGCTAGAAATGAAAATACTTGAATGTAATATTCCTGCTGTTAAGGAGCTCAGTGTTCAGGCTCACGCTTAGGTCAGGACAGAGCCACCCACTGGCCTAGGAGAAGTCAGGGCGGAATGTGAATGACAAAGGTTTGTTTGGAGGGATAAGCTTTACTCGGGGGTTGTGGGTTCTGCCCAGCCCTGCCCAGCCAGCAGGTTTCACTTCTTCTGGGTCTCCAGGACCTTCTCCTTCCTGATTTCTCTGGCCAGCTCTCCAATCAGTCCCCAGTACTCATTGAACTTGAGCTCCGAGTCCTGATTCACATCCAAGCTTTTCATCTTCTCATCCAGGGAGCCCACATCCTGAGGAGACACCAAAGGAAGGGAAGGGTTAGAATCGGGGCTTGTCGGCCCAGCACCAGGGGCACAGCTGTGATCTCAGCACTCTGGGAGGCTGACGCAGAAGCATGACAAGTTCAAGGCCAGCCTGGGCAACTCAGCAACTCAGCAAGACCCTATCTCAAAACAAAACAGACAAAAAAATTTTGGTAGGGGGAATTGAACTCATGACCTATGCTTGTCAGGCAGGTGCTACACTGCTGAGCTACAGCCGGGCTATATGGCGAGATTCTGTCTCCAAAAATAAAAAATAATAACAAAAGCATGGAGGGGGAAAAATTGGAAACAAAGCCTCTGTAAACAGGGAGGGAAAGGAAGGTTGAAGGGAGGGTAGGAGAACGGGGGGGGGCACAAATTCCTTATGATGAATGTGAGCACTATGGGTGGCAATCAAGTACTAATTAAAAGAAAAAAGAGCTGGGGCCGGGGATTTAGCTCAGTGGTGCTGCCACCTGTCTCGAAAGCGCAAGGTCCCGAGTTTGATTGGCTCCGGGACTGGTCCCAGACACAAAGGGAGCCTTTGTGGGGTGGGCTCCAGGCTGACAGACAGGGCAGCTCCGTCCTGTGACCCTAATGTGCTCTCCAGTGCCCAGCAAGGTGACTTGCTGGTAGCCTAGGGGATGGCAACCCTGACAAAGTGGCTCACAGTGCGGCTGTGAAACCAAAGAACACTGTAGGCCAGACTCTATCATAAAAGATTTGTTGCCAAGCTGGGTGTGGGGCTGCACACCTGGAATCCCAAATGCTTGGGAGGCGGAGGCAAAAGGATCAAAAGTTTGAGGTCAGCCTGGGCAAAAGCTGGAGAAGTAGCTCAGCGGCATTGAACCAGCCTGGCAAGTGCAAGGTCTGGAGTTCGATCCCCGGTACCAAAACAAAATGGGGGGCGGCTATAGCTCAGGGGTAAGGCCCTTTCTGGGTTCAATCCCAGGTACACTTCCGAGGGCCAGAGAAACAGTCATAATCACGAGCTGATGTCTGAACAAGTCAGTGTCAGGCTGGGGGGCCTCAGGTGAGCTCAGTGCTGGACACTGGCATCAACCTTTGAGCAAAGGCCAAGAAGAACTGCCAAGTGCTTCAAAGACACACAGCTGGTTTGCAGAAGAGCCAGTGAAAAAAATCCAGTCACACTTCATTGTGAACGCCACCAGCACTGCCGGCCGGAGGCAAGGACGGCGAG